AAGTCAAAATTCAAAAGAAAGAAAAGGTTGTCGTCTCCTTCCACAATACACAACTTCCTTCTATTTTCTTTTTCATTCGATTGATAAATCCTCGAAAAAAAAACCCTAACAACAATGTTAAACCTGAAAGCAGAAACATGTCGAAGAGGAATGCAAAATTCCTTTGAAGCAATGTTAATATCCGATATGGAGACACAAATAGAAACCAATTGTACTGTCTTGCGAATGATACATATTTATTATTTTTCACTCTATAGCATATAAAACACAAAAATGAGAATTAAATTACAAAAAAAAAAGTTGAATTAACTAATTTTACCGAGTTTTCTTACATAATATATTGATGTAATTTGTTTCCATTAAAAGGGATAAAGCTTCATTAGTCTGCCTGAGATTGTTGGTAATAAAAGGGCTATAACTTCATGATCCAACAAGAGAGCACATATCAGATCATTCACTCAAAAACATAAAGCCTCATGATCAATGTTTTTATACATTCTTCGAACCTAAACTTTTTTAAAAGTCAAATTTGAAGCCAAAGGCCTAAAAGATAGATAAAATTGTCGGCTGGTAACTTGGCCACTCAATTCATGCAAATGGTTAGTAATCCTTGAATTGAGTGATAAGCTCATGTGGGACTGATAAACAATTCTAATAACTTGCTTCCAAATTATTAGAATGGTAACCTCAAAAGCCATCAGAAATCGTGTCTTTAAATAGCCAGTTAAGCGAGCAAGAATACACCAATAAAGTCAACCCATCTTTCAACCACATAAGAAATATTCGCACCTGAATTGAACTGATATGAGAGTATAGACACGTAAATAAACACAAACTAAAGTGTCTCTAACCGGTTTTATCCAGATACGAAATAAAAATACATTTACAAATTTTTTTTTATATATTTACTTTATCGCACAGCTAGAAAAGTTCTATCAAGAGGTCTACCCTTTAGAATAAAACACACACAATAATAAGGGTTGTGAGACAAATGTCACCAAGAACACCAAGTCACAAGGAGACCTATCCAACCAATCCTCCCCCCAATTATGATGTGGCAGCAGACTGACAGTATATTACCCCACTCAAGATGTACTCAAATCAAAAAGATCATTTTGTATACTACTGCAATGATTCGGTCTTTCCATATAGGTCTTTTGAACTAAATAATTTCATATACCATCCGGTCAAGAAAAATAAATATTGATTAGATACATGATTTCGATGTATCAATTCATCCGCATTCATGGCATTTCTTTTTCAAAGAAAGATTTACACACATCAAAAATCTGAATAAGAACCCTAAATCCTAATACATGTTTCTGAAAGAAAACTTTGATGTTAGTGATCGAATATACCTAAGTTGCATAGTTGTTTAGTTATGAGAGAAATCTGAGAAATGAATGTCAAACTTTAAAGAAGAAGAAAATCTATTCCTTTGATTCTTGAATGTTTTATGGGGCCTTGGATGCAAAAGTAGATACTTACAAAGAAGTAATCCATTCAAGTTGAATTTGGTCAACAAACCATTTTGCAGAGCCACGAATAGGATGAGAAATCCCCTGCCAGTTACGGAAGGTCAAGTTCAAGTTCCCAAGAATTGGAGAAATTGAATACATGAGGAAGTAATTTTGATACATACTTACGAATCATTAGCAAACAAAAGCTTCAATCTCCAAACTGAATATAAGAAAAATTAGGCATAAGAGATCTTTGATTAGGAAAAAATAAGAAAGCAAAAAAAAAATGAAAACTAAATAGAAAAGAAATTGAGGGTTACGATTAGGGAGAGGATGGTATACCCAGGAGTGGTAGAACGTGCCACTTAGAGAGACCACAATGTCGGTGGGAAACAAGAGCTTATAGAACGACATACACAAATGTTGAGATGTGTCTGCATTTATAGGCCAGAATGGACAGAATCCGGAATCAAACCACCGTTTCAAATAAAAAGGTGTGTCTCTTCTTTGCGTTCTATCGGTTCGAAACCCATCTCAACGCTTCGATCAAAGTGAAACTTTTTGTCGGAGAGGAACCGGCGAATTGCAAGAGGAAGGCATTCAAAGGGATGCGACGATCAGGAAAATGTAATCGACATTTCAAAGGGATTAAAGACGAAATTTTGGTATGTTGCGTCGTTCCGGGAGTAGGTTACGTGGAGGTAATGCAACCCTATGAAATTTTTCTAGACGAAACCACATTAAAAGGGCTTTTATATATAATAATGATCGATATATATATATATATATATATTATATATATATATATATATATATATATATATATATATATATATATATATATATATATATATATATATATCTAATATATATCAGTGTTGCAAATATCGGCCTAGGCGGCCGATTAATCGGCGCCTAGGCGCTTGGCGGTCCTCGACTGTCGACGTTTATAGCTAATCGGGCTATATAATCGGACGTGGTCAAAGTCGGTCAAAAACGGGTCTAGGCGGGTCTAGGCGCCCAAATCGGTCAACGAAAGTCAGCGCAATTTTAAAAGAATTGAGGGTAAAATTGTCAAAATGTAAGAAATGCTTCTAGGGTTGCATCCGTTTTCTCATTCGATGAAGTAAAAAAAAATTGCATTCTCTCTGCCTCTCTGAACCACGAACGAGAACGAACAAGGGACATCGATCGCATCTTCTTCTTCCGTTCACCTTCGACAGTCTCACGCCCGTTTTTAGCTCTGGCCCCGGTTCCTTATCTCCTTCAAGCAACAACGTGCAGTCTCCTTCCAAGCTTCAGTTCACTACTTCAGCTCCTCCCGTCACGAAGTTTCTAGGCTCATGAAGTTTAAAGATTGCAGTTCTTGAAGTTTATCGGTTCCAAAATCAACTATTCTTCCGACTTCAACTCTTCTTCAGCGTATATCTTATTTATACGCTGCTCGAATCCAACTCCTTTAGCGAAGACGACTCCGACTCCTCCCCTGCAACCGTCGTTAGCCATCGTTTCCGACTTCTCCCATCGTATCTTGCTGTTAGCCATTTTTCATCGTATTCACCGTGTTTGGGTCGATTCAATGCCTTGAGTTCCATGAAATTTGTTTTGACACCGGATCTAAATGGCAGATCTAATGGAATTCAGGTTCGTCTTTGTCCATGTAAATTGTTTTTGTTTTGTTATGCTATTACTAAAATTGTTATTCAACTTTAGGATGATCCATCTTCTACATCCATTAATGATAAGACAATAGAAAAGGAGAAGGGTAAAGATGGGAAAGATAAAGCAGAAACACAAACACAAAGACAAGTGGAGTTCAGATTGACGCACATAAGCTGTTTGATGAAAATCCTCAAAGATTTCATTGTTGTTCTTGGCTTAAGAACAAGGGTTTTTTGGACCTTCAACCATTTTCAAGTTCTGTGCATTGCATCAAATCTCTTTTACATACTCTGTCTTCACCTCACCTTTGTTCAGAAAAGATTTGATCTCTAAAGAAGCTTATACATATCGGAAATCACATGCTTTCTGTTCACTATAGGATGGTTTGTAGAATTTGTCAATAAAAGAGTTGTTAAATTATCTTGTTTATACCATATATGGATACTAGTAGTGAATGGTATTACATGACATATTTAGATGTAGGTGAATTTGGGATTGGTTGATATGTTGTAACACTTGTGAATTTACATCAGTGGCTATGAATTTACTTATATTATTTGGATTAAAGTTAGATTTATTAATATTTGAACATTTTTCTTAATAATTAATGGTCCCCGATTAATCCTCGCCTATCCGATTAATCCCTTGACCCCATTCCACCGCCGAGCTACCGTCGAGCGATTTCTGCAACCTTGATATATATATATATATATATATATATATATATATATATATATACACACACACACACACACACACACACACATAGGTGTGTATCTATATTTTTTTTTATAAAATCGTGTTTGTATATATTTTTTTATAAAAACGTGTTTGAATAATTTTTTATATATAAACTTGTTTGAATACAAATGCATTTATTATAAATAGGGGTTTTTATATATATATAGATATATATCCATATATCTTATATATAGATATATATATATATGTATACAAAAGAAATGTATAAACACTTATTTGGGTGCATTATATATATATATATATATATATATATATATATATACACACACACACACAAAAGAAATGTATTCAAACAAAAGAAATGTATACAAACACTTATTTGTGTGCATATAAATATGTTTTTACAAAAGAATGTATACATTTACTATGAAATAGGGAGTGTATATATTTTTTATACATATGTGTGTGCAATAAATGTATTCATAATATAAATTTATGTCGATATATAAGATCTATATATATATATATCTATATATATATATATATATAGATATAGATATCGATCTATAATATATATTGTAAACATACAGTATGTCTATAGGTGTTTTTTAAAAACGAATTTGTATATATTTATATACTTAATAAACCTATATAAGATATTTTTATGTGAAAATATATATATTTTTTGTATAAATATGATTTTATAAAGAAAAAACATATTTGAAACAAAATTTTGAGAAAAAAAAGTTAAAAAAAAAACTAAAGTTAAGATGAATTAATAACAAAATTCTAAAATCTCGGCAAAAAAGATAAATTTTGGACGTAATTTGTAATAAAATTTAAAATATGGACCAAAAGTGTAAATTTTTTACCAAATTTGTAATAAATTTTGAAATCTAGGCCAAAAATATAATTTTTGAAAGTTAGATGACCTATTGACCGGGTAAATGGGTAAAATTGAATACGATTACCGGTTTTTAGAACTTAATTAAATAAAAAAATATAGAAACTAAATCGATTATCAGATAATTTACAATGATTTTATATTTTTATTATCATGTTTTTACGAAGTATGAGAGTGAAGTGAAGAGGTAAATTAATTGAAATATGACCGCCCAATTAGTTGTTCGGGCCATATAATTGAACAAGCCCAATACCCAATTGAATACAATATAAACCACCACAACCCTCCCTCAATTAGGGTTTTACTGGCTGCAGCGATTTTGAGAATTTCGTAGCATCAGCGTCTTGAAGAAGAAACTCAAATTGCAGCCATGGTAACATCTAAACCCTTACAGTGCTATTTCTTCCCTGTTTTTTCATTTTTTTTATTATTTCATATCTGTATTTGTGTTGATGTTCTAATTTGTTGTGTTGCTGTGATGTGATCTATTTTGCAGTCTCTGGTAGCAAATGAAGATTTCCAGCATATTCTTCGTGTACAGAACACGAATGTTGATGGAAAACAAAAGATCATGTTTGCTATGACCTCCATTAAAGGTATCGGTCGTCGATTCTCAAACATTGTCTGCAAGAAGGCTGACGTTGATATGAACAAGAGGTACTTTCTATTCTTCATGTTTTCCTTTGTTTCATTTTCGATATTTCAATCCTTTACATCCTATGAACGATTTTCGTGACTGAATTTGTCCTCCATTATTATCTTCTTCATTTTATGATCATGTTTCTTTCAACAAGTTGCATTCTCATGATTAGTTATATGGGGTTAAACACTACATCTAGGTTTAATTAAGTAAGGTCATTGTGAATTATTTCAAAAGATGTCTATCAATGTAAACATTCTCTGTTTTACAATAGATCAACACATTATATCCAGTTACTACTACAATGAGAAACAACTATAGAGGATCGATTTCAGCTAGATTCAAGCAAAGCTTTGAGTTTTCTTCATACCATAACCAAAATTATCAACATAAATTTACAGGGCGGGAGAACTTTCAAATGCTGAGATTGATAACCTGATGACAATTGTCGCAAATCCAAGACAATTCAAAATCCCAGATTGGTTTCTTAACAGAAAGAAGGATTACAAAGATGGAAAGTACTCTCAAGTCACATCTAATGCTCTCGACATGAAGCTCAGGGATGATCTTGAACGATTGAAGAAGATCAGGTCTCTATCATTTCCATTTTTTTTCTTCAAAATCCAACAAACAAAAACTGTAGAAAGTAATAATTTTTTGTTGATTGTTTTTGGTAAACAGGAATCACCGTGGTCTTCGTCATTACTGGGGTCTCCGAGTACGTGGTCAACACACCAAGACTACTGGTCGTAGGGGAAAGACTGTTGGTGTGTCCAAGAAGAGATAAGTGTGTTTTTTATTTTTGTTTTGGGAAATCCCTTCAAATTGTTATTTGCATCAGATTTAGAAGATTATTATGATTGTGGGGTAAAAGTTGTTATCTTATGGTTGTTTTTTTTGGATTGTTTATCGAAGAGGATTTTATTTTTACATTTTGTAACGAGTGAATGTGATAAGACCTTTTTATTCCCAATGTGCACTTCTACAAAATAGATGGTTAAGTTTGAACTTTATTGACCCAAACATGGCCCAAAATTTTAACCGGGGTTAGAAAACCCTGTTTTGGACTCGCCTGTAACTTTGACTTTATCTTGACTGTAAGCTATATTTCGATAGTTTTAATTTATGTAAAAGTGTTTAGTTTAAATTTTAAATAAAAAACAAAAACGAAAACTTGAATTAAAATTTATTTAACATAAAAACTTAAAGTCAAGATAGAGTTTATGACATTGAAAAGGCTAATTGAATTATGACGTTGATAACAACATATGCTATCAAATCGGCCCAACTACCATATAACACAGAATATGGCAGATCAAATCTAAGTGTTCAATCATAACAATCTCCTCAATGTCAAAACAGCCAACTGCAAAAATAATTTGTATGTCTTTTATGCAAAAATGAGATCTTTTTATGATTTTCCAAATTTACGAATTACATGGTAAGCCAAAGCAAAACGCACATCAAAACAAGTTTCAAGAAAACCTGTGAATAATCTTGGTATTCAAGAATCTTCACCCCCATCCAAAAGTTCCTTCTTGACTAGAATGAAGTTTGGATCCTTTAGTTGTTCGTTCCTCTTTACCATATCCAATGATATCAAGAGATGGTAACACTATGCCATAATGTCTAATTTCTACGTCAAAAGTTGAAGGGTAAAAAGGTGTTTGTAGTATTCGTTAAAATCTAATAATACAAATTTTCATCTTTGTAGAAAATTCTATAAACGGAAAACTTGACTTTTAGACAAATATGATGGATCAAAAGACGATTGAGGGCCAATTAGGGTTTGTTAACATAGTTATTTTCATTAGTTTAAAGGCAAGTTGTTAGCATAGATAGAGGGTTTAATGATGAAAAATATTAAAAAGCCAAATACAATAGCATGTGAACTAGCACAAACTATAAAGACGGAGTGATCAATGATTCGACTGTTTGTACTTCTGCATCTTTCTAAATTTTATATTTAAATAAAATACTTATTGTAAGCATACAAACTATTGTTGTAAAAATTCAAAAAAGTTACAATTTAATTTTTATTTTCGAAAATGCACACAAAGTTGTTTTTACCGTGGCTTTTAACTTTTAAATTGAAAATTTTAGTTGACGGAGAGAAGTTAGTGTATTTTTTTAAAGCTGATGTGCCACTTTTATTTTTACTAAAAGTTTGATATTTCATATTTAAAGGCCACATCAGCCTAAAAGGAAATGGAAAAGAAGTGCATGTTGTAGGTTTTGGATCTGAGAAATGTGCTTTTTAGGTCGGTGTCTCGGTGATTAATTTGATACAAGTAGATTGCAAGCCCAACCTAAGATTTTTGATTTTCTGGTACACAAATATTAATTATCCCAGAGTCATTCAAAATTTCTTATCTGTATCAGTGTCGTTGATGGCTTTGACCTGACTAAGGATTTCATATCAATGTATACAAATCAGGGAGCAAATTTCGAGGAATTGAAGAAAAACCTATATGAAGCACCGATATTAGCTCTTCATGAAGGGATTTATGAATTAGCACTTTTCAATGAGTTGAGTGTTGGTTTAGGATGTGTCTTGACTCAACACGACAAGGTTATAGTCTATACGTCGCAAAAGTTAAGGGGTATATGGAGGGAAATATCCAACTCACGATTTAGAGTTGGTTGTGGTTGTTTTCCACTTAAGATTTCAAAGACACTATCCTTATAGTACAAAATGCTAAGTTTGTAATGATCATAACAGTTTGTCATACCTAGTTAACTAGAATGAGTTGAATGGGAGACATGCACATTGGATTAGGGATGTAAATTGGCTTGAAGTTTGTCCAAACAGGATCGGAACCAAACAAACCAAAATCTGGTTAAGGAGTGTACAAGGAACCGAGAGCCGGACTGAATACCACTAACCGGTTTCAACCAGTTCTACTAGGAAATGTGCTTATCTAAGAGTGTGTTTGGTATCAGAATCAGACCGAAACCGAAAGAACTGAACACCAAAAACGATGGATTGGGAGAATCCAGAAGCAAAATGAATACCAATAAACGGTTCCAAATGGTTCTGATTCCGATTCAATTTCGGTTCTGGATCGATTTTTCGGTTAAAAAGTTCATCCGTACATTGGATGAAAGTTAAAGGATTACGACTATAAGATTCTTTACCATCTGGGTAAAGTTAATAATATGGGTGACATACTATACAAGAAGGAAAACCCTGAAAGGAAAAAGGTAAAATCCTTACAAATTGAACTTGTAATAGTTATGGTCGAAAAGATGAAGGAAACTTCAACTGAGACATTATTAGAGGAAAATGAAAAGGAAGAAAAACTTTGTAAAACACTACTCTATTAAGATGATACTCGAGTGCTAGAGATTTTCTAGAGATAGATTAGGGTACACTTACTTGCATGGATATGAGATCTTTTTAGCGGAATCCCAAATATTGGATTATTTTCATCCATGGAGCAACAAGATGTACAACAATGGAAGCGTAGTATTGGTGGCCAACGATGAAAATAACCATGGCTAAGTACGTTATAACATACAACTTGTTTTCATGTAAAAACTCAGCATCAACATCAAATGTGGTACATTAATTTCTAGCCTATGAGGTTCTAATGGGTAAATGAGATAATTTGACAATATACTTTATTACTAAGTTGGTGTAACACCTTAAACGGGTGGTTAGACATTTTAACTTTTTAATTAAGAAGATACCATTTATTAGTTAATTATTGGCATTAATTTATGGCTCATGTTTATATTGAATAACTAGCTTATAGCCCATAGGAACCACGATTAAAAAAATAATTAAAATTTTATAATAAAAACTCATAATTATTTTCAATAAATTATTAATTAAACATGATTTTGTAGGATTTTCAATATAGAAATATAATTAATTATCGGCAATAATAACTGAAACTTATTCAGGACGAATTTAAATTTCTCCTAAAAATCATGGACCAAATAAATGATTGCCTAACTTATCCATAGTTATGAAATGTACGGATTTTAGGAAATTAAGTGTAAGTTACATTTATTATGAGGACTAATTTCCATTACCAGGAAATATTCATTAATTTAATTTATGAATTAAAATAATAGAGGTGATATTTTCACTTATGTTTTTGATTTATCTACGTAAAATTAAGATGATTTGATTTTTATACCCCCATTTTAATTGAAGAGAGAGAATCATGACATAAGATATATATATATATATATATATATATATATATATATATATATATATATATATATATATATATCTATTATATATAAGTCAAATAAACTTGTTTTTAAGTGGATGACTCAAAAACCTAAGTGAAAATATCACCTCCCTTACCTAAATAGTAGCCATGTAAGGTTTTAGAGGGTTTTTGCATACCGGAAAAGAAGAGTGGAAGATATCGAGGGAACCATCAATAAAAATTTTGTTTAGAATGATTCACATCATTGGAAAGGATTCAAATCATTGAGGATTGTTGAGACAAGAGCTCGATGAAGATTATGATGCATAAATAAGTTATTCTCTTAGATCTTTGATTAGCTCAACAATAATTTAGATGTAGAATTACTATCGGTTTATGATAGAAGATATAACAACAACAAAAACTAAATAAACATAAGACAAGTTAGTAAAGTACTTTGTTGAATTGTGATTAAGTTTGCTTGCAAACTTAAATCAGTAAATGATGAACAACATAAGTATAATGGAGATAAAGAGACTTGCATTCTGATAAGAGCAATTACAAGACAGTTGGATAATCCCAAAACCAAACACACTTTTGAAAAAAACGACATAACCTTTATTTATAGAAAAACCTAGTACACACAATTGACTAGTCATATCAAAGGTTGGTTGTGCAGGCGGCTATGCTTCCCACGTCTGTTCTGACATAATCCTTCCAAAAGACCTTTGACGATAAGGATGACAAAGTACTGAATTCTTCGGTGCACTCCAAGACAAAAGGGGCTTTACATCATTACACAATCTCTTTATCTCAATCTTCGAATGGCTTCAGACATCATACTCATCGCATTAAACAAAAGAGCCAATCTTCGCGTCACCCAAGACTTCACATATCACCAAAAACACTTTAGCTGTCGAGGGTCACTTCATATATCAACAATTTCTCCCTAAGTGACCTCGCAACTAACTTCTTCATCTATCAAGCTTGAGAAACTTGATCAACAACTTCCATACTTTCCTCACATTCAACAACCATTAAATCTTCTCATGCATAACATCTTTGACTTCTTCGATAGTGTACTTGAAAACCAGGGTCGGTCCTGAGGATTCAAATGCTCAAGACGAGCCGAAAAATAAGACCCTTAGGCTCTAACGGCAAATTAATTTATATAAACTGAAGTTTTTTTTAAACGACGATAAATTTCATAAATATGTTATTCTCATGTGAAAGTGTGAATTATAAGTAATTTAGAGCAACAATGCAATCATTACAAATAATGGAATGGAATATGAGTCATTACACTATGTTATGATATTCTGGTTAAAAACCTATAAACATATTAATAATTAATAAAGAAAATGAGTTGTCCTACCTGATGGAACAAAGAAGAATGAGAGTCATATTGAACAAGAAAGAGTTCATGAGAGTACCTCCCCACCTAGATAGAAAGGTCATTTTACTTAATATTCAATTCACATGCCACAATTAAACAAAAAAACATAATTGGATAGAAAGGTCATTTTACTTCATTGGATGGATAGTGATAAACACTAGTCTTAGACCAAGCATCATTGCCACAGTAATAACTGCAAGCAGAAGGTAGAAGCAGAAAAACATAAAGGCTGTAGTGCCCAGAAGACCTGGTGAAGGAATGACAATTAGGTCAATGTAACAACATTAATGTGTTTCTTCACTGACATATGGAATATGAATCATAAATTACCCCAAATGTCATCCAACTTTATGAAAACCTCATTTAGGAATGGAGAAAGTGGAGGGTTAATCAACATATAGATATTATATATATATATATATATATATATATATATATATATATATATGTGTGTGTGTGTGTGTGTGTGATGTATGCAATCCAAACAATTGAAACAATTAACCTAACAAGGGGAACACAATCAATCAAAACCTAATTTTAGCAAATGTAAAATTTGATTTTGATTGTAATGGAATTAAGAATTACCCAAAGACTTCGAGTATAAGCTTTGCAAGATAGCCAAGAAAAGTCATGGCCCAGGTAGTCTCTGCCCGATTAAGTTAATATGTAATTAGGAAAGCCATTAAACAAAGTAAAAAAGAAAAATGTTGTATGATTAGGGCTTTGCTTACTCCAACTAGTTGCACCAGTTCTCATGCTAAAGGTATCTAATATCGCTTCATATACAACTAACACATGTAAAACAAAAGATCAAAATTAAGTAATTACATGATCACAAATATCTGAAATATTGAAGCAAAAAGTAATTACCTGTAAATTGATGCAAATTCCAATCACGGGAATGAAAAAAAGGAACACCGGCCATTAAGTAGGGCTTACGAATTTCTCATAACTAATGAGGAATAAGGATTGAAGCGTCGAGTACAATATCAAAAAAATCTGGGCCCCTAAAATTTTTGGGCCCTATTCAACTGTCCTGCTTGCCCTTACCCTACACCGGCCATGATGGAAGCATTGGCAACTCTTAAGATTTCTTCTATCTGCGGATTTGTACATCGGTGAAAGGCAGTTGTAGCTAGAAAATTCTTCTTAACATTTTTGTGAAGTTTGAAAATGATTCCAAGTTCTGGAAAGTTGGTGGCTCCACCCTTTAACTCTTGAATACCTTCTTCAACAACTAAAGCAGTTTCAAATGGAGGAATATCAGGATGGGGTTTTATTTCACCATCTATTGAAGCAAAGTCACAGATGAGAACTTGAGAAAATCACAGTCGACCATGGTTTGAAAAGATGATATTCCTCAATCTTTAAGCTGAAAATCCAAACAATGAGAAACAGTTCTTTTGGGTTCATGTGAACAAAATCGGCTTGAGTTATGTAGTATTCACTTCCACTGCGAACAAGACTCTATTGATAGAAAAGAGATTTCTTGAAAGATCTTTGCTTATAAGCAATCTCAAACACCCCTTTATCAAAAACTATTTAAATAAGTTAATAGGTGCTTATGAAATCTTTCTATCCAGACACTTAAAACTTTTTATTACCGGTGTCAAACCGTAATAAATCAATAAACATTTTAAATAATCAATTCCAACCATCTCTTTTTAAAGCTCAATGAAGACACGATAACTTTCAACTATCCCTAATAAAACCCAATTTTCCATTTATTAATACAATTATGTCTATTTCTGTTTTTCAACAGATGGATATACGGTATTTACACATATATAATAAAAAATAAAAGCAACATGACCTCGATTATAAGTCTAATAAGATCCAAAACGATGGATTCTACGCCTATTGGCCAAGTTGCAACCATTTAAAACAATTTTTTTTGTTGCAAAAGACAAGTCATTGACATTAAAAATGTGGAGTTAACAAAACAAAATCAAAGATTCTCTATCACATTTCCTAAACCAAATATTATCTGGATTTCAAGATTCTACCCATAGAAAAACACTTAGTTATTAATTTTATATTTCCTTACTTGAGCCCGTAAAATAATGTATTAGTACTTTATAGGTCAAGAGTCCAAATACTTCGTTTTTCTTGTCTTTTTCTTAAGAAAAAGTTAAGTCACAATATAAATTCTGAAAAATTGGTCTTTAACCAGTCAAAAGAATCCTGAACTCGTTGATCCTAAAACAAGTTTTCAAGAAATTCAAAAGAAGAAATGCTTTCGTACAAAATTAATAAAATATTCATAACCATTGTCGTCTATATCCCATGAATACAAAACCATAGAACATGGTTTCATAAACACCATTCGCGCCCTTGCAACGAGAGCCTAGCTTTTGAGGAATATAATTTCATACAGGAAGTCCATGATTTAAATATTGGCACATCCAAAATATCATTGGTTTTTTTTTTTTAACCGACAAATATAATATATTCATAAACTAACACTTAATACCATTTATATCACCAAAGAGTTTCTAGCCTAACAGTATCTGGTAGTGTCGTCCCTCTTTGAGGTTGAGGGTTCAAATCCTGTTGTGGACATAAGTGAAATTAGATGGTAGCTTAGAAATATGTTAGATTTGCCGGTTAAAAAAAAAGTCTTTTAGTTATTGGTGTTTTCTAATTGACCTCTTACGTAAGTTTAAAGACAGATTGATATGAGCTGTTAAGCCAAAACATTTTACCAAAAAAAAATAAAAAAAATGAAACACCATTCACATTTTGGCTAAATGTGTTTATGTTGGGATATTAATTTAACGTAAAAAAGTAATCTTTCTTGAAAACACAAATATGAGATTTTTTATATAAAGCAAATAGATGCAACTCCATTGTACATCATTCACGAACACAATATTTGTCAGTATGTATCATATTTACTTGCATCACGGGAAAATCCAAATTGATCCATATATCACACAAAAAACAACTCATGATTATAATATAAATTTTAAATCCCAAATAAGAACACATGATTTTTTTCAGGATATTAATACAAGATTTTAGTGCATAAAAAGGCCAAATTGAGAACTCGAAATTTAACTGCCCTAGTGGGGAGAAGGGGACAATGTTATTATTATAGAATTGTACCTTTGTAAGCTTATACTAAAGTAGGGACAAACACCTATACAAACTAAATTATTGTCCCAAAAAAAGACACAAAATTTTGTCACCATCTTTTTAATCGTTTCATGTGTTACATAAACACTTTTTTTATGGGAAAACTTCCCAACCTTTAGATTAATATAAGAAAGCTTTTGACAGTTCTTTAGTTAACGGTTAGGAATTAGTTCTATAAATGTCTTATAATCTATATATATATATAATATATATATATATATATATATATATATATATATATATATATATATATATATATTGTAATAGTTTGAGTAATTAAACCATATGTGCAAGTTTTCCTTAATGCAGGTACCATGAGATTTGGTTCTTAAAAGTTAAAAATAGTCAAATCAGCCATATAACTATATAATGCATGAAATGTTACAGAATTCTTAAATAAATAAATAAATAAATAAACTTGTTCATTACCAGGGGCGGAGCCAAAAAAAATTTTTAGGGTGTTCCTTATATATATATATATGTATGATTTTTAAGGTTTTATGCGAAAAATAAAATAGCCCCTTAAATATAATTTTTTATATATAAGTAAAAATAAATCTAAAAAAAAACCAAAAAATAAATAAACTTATCTAAGAATGGAATTATGTAAATTTATAAAATTTAAGGTGTGAAATATGTAAATTTTAAAAACTAACTTACTATAGAATTTTAATTTCTAAATATAAGAGGTCAAAATGTAACTTTAAAAATGAATTATTTAAAAAAAAACATGCCCAAAATGTAAGGCTTGAAACTGATAGTGTTTAAGGATATAATATTATACATATGTTTTTAGAATAACTTACACCCAACTATTATTTTATTTCAAAAAAAAAAAAATTGGAAATTTGAGAGTAGGCCTGGGCCTACCCTCGTCCTAGGGTGGCTCCGCCCTTGTTCATTACTATTGTTTTAATAATAAGATTTGGCATATAATTTATATATAAACTAACACAAAAACTTTAGTTTCAACCTAAGAATCCAAATACCCTTATTTTAGCATGTCGATTTTATTAATTTAACACTTATTACAAAATAATTCAGTTGGGTAAGGTGTATGTGTATCATCAATAATGTGCATGGGACCAAATCTTTTATGATCATTGGAAAGCAGTAATATAAATCTTTTTATATATTTTTCATTTTATTCGGGAAATTTCCTAGCTCGTATGAACAAATAATATAATAATAACTAGTTTAATATTTCGCATAAAAATGATTAAAAATAAATCATATTTGACGAACTACAAAAATTACTACATTAATCACACACCCACCACCGTGAAAAAAATAATTCATACAATTACCACCGGAGATATTATACATTCCGGCGTCCACCGTTTTCTGCCGTCGACGATTCCATGAGAGTAACGAGAAGATCCGCGAAAGCTCCGACGATGAACTTGTGAGCACTTTTCGGGTTCAAATCCAGATAGCACGTGAGTAGCTCGTGCAAGTAATCCCAGTTGGCGCGTACATCGACGAGGTCACGTGCCTCCACCATTTCCTGCATCGATTTCCGGAAGTCAAAGTATGGGTCCGGCGAGATCGTCGGGATCGCAACGCCGCCACCGACGAAACCGTCGGTGGCATCCTCAGGAGTGTAAGAGGTGGAGGCTAGGGAGGAGGTGGAGGGGGAGGAGGATTCGATGATGGAATTGGAGCGGCCGGGGGAGGAGAAGAAGAAGCGATTGGAAGCGATGGCGGTGGAGAAATCAGGGGCAGTGATGATTGATGAATCGTCAGAATCGGAGGCGGGGGGGATGTCATAGAGAGTGTTGAAGTTTTTGATGAGGTTAGATTTGGGATTGTGTAGGGATGGTTCGGAGTGGCGGCGACGATGGTGGTGGCGATGGCGGTGGGGAGGAGGAGGAGGAGGAGGAGGAGATGGTGGTGGTGATTGGGGGCGTTTGATTTTGGTGAAACATAGATTGAGATTCCGTTCAAAGGTGGTCGGCATTGAATGGTTTCCGATCTGGATGAATTCGGAGATTTGGGAGGATTAGCGATGTAGCCGTCGTCTATGCAGAGAGGGAGAGAGACTGGAACTGGATATATGAAAACTCGCTTCTGGATTTTATATAATTATGAGGAAGAAAGGGGAGAGTGTTAAGGATTCTATATTTGATTTGATACTTATAATTAAATATCCGTGATTCTTCAAAAATAAAACTTTAAACTTGGGTTTTATTTATGAAAAATTACTGTTTTGTTTTCAATTTGATAAAAACTAGGAAAAGGTCCGTGCTTTGTTGCACGAGTTATTTTTTTTAGAAAAAAAGGGTGAAAATTGTATGACGGAATTGAAAAACAATCAACAATAGGGACTAATATTATCAAAACTTGAAAATTATATGGCCAAACTTTAAAAGCAAAAACATTCCTTTTGAAAGATTTCTTTAAAAAAAAGACGGTGAAAGTTATGTGACGAAATTGAGAAAAAATAAACAATGGGGACTAAAATTATCAAAGCTTGAAAATTATGTGGCCTTTTTAAAAAAAGACGGTGAAAGTTGTGTGACGAAATTGAGAAAAAATAAACAATGGGGACTAAAATTATCAAAGTTTGAAAATTATGTGGCCAAACTCCAAAACCAAAAAGATTCCTGTTGAAATACTCAATGCGCTTTAATATATATATATATATATATATATATCTTATATATATATATATATATATAGATATATATATATATATATATATGTATAATTCAAGTTTTTTTATGCTTTTAGGATTTTAGTAGTAACAAACTTTTATCTAGTTGCAAGCCTTTTTTAATTTTAAATAAAAATAATTTTCGACGGTTTATTTCAAATTGAAAACGACTTTTCAATGTTCTTTTAGTAGTTTTTCCGAAAACAAAAAAGCTTCATTTCTCTACAATATTTCAAAATAAAAACGACTTCATGAGATGGATAGATTTGGTGAAAAAGCTTCATTTCTGCCTTACTTCATGAGGTTAGGATGAGGTGTCATTCCATTTCTTTGTGAGTCAAATTCTTATATGAACAAGTTGCAAGGTTGTATTTGGGAGATAATCATATTTGATCCATTATTGGAGTTCAACAAGGCGACCCTTTGGGACCATTTCTTTTTGCTTTTGTATTGCACCCACTTGTACATCAGATTAGAGACAATTGCAAACTTCTTCTTCATGCTTGGTATCTTGATGATGGGACCGTCATTGGAGATTCAAAGGAGGTGACCAGAGTATTGGACATCATTAGGGTGGTAGGCACAGGATTGGGTCTTGCACCGAATATAAAAAAAAACTGAGCTCTTTTGGCCTTCATGCAATGGTAGGAAGCTTCGTGCAGATTTATTCCCTGCTGACATGAGCCACCGTTATTAGGGGTGAAGCTTCTTGGGGGAGCTGTTAGTAGAGATGCGAGTTTTATTAGCAGGTTAGCCATGAAGAGGGTTGCCAAGGCCGTTGATTTGATGCACCTTCTACCATAATTACATGAACCCCAGAGTGAGCTCTTTTTGCTTCAATCTTGCATGAGCATCGCCAAACTTTTCTTTGGTACGAGGATGTGCCAACCCGTTCACATGGAGGACGCTGATTTGTGTTTTGATAAAGGGTTACGAGGGTCGATTTAGGCCATTGTGGTTTGTGGGGGTCCTTTCTTTGGGGACATTCAATGGCGACCTGCTTCATTACCAATTAGGTTTAATGATTTGGGATTGTACTCAGCGGTAGAGGCTTCCTCCTATGCTTTTGTGACCCCACGAGCTCAATTGTGGGTGTTACAATACCACATCTTATAAGATAGCGGCATATGTGGTATGGATTTAGATTATGTTTGTGCTTTGGCCTGTCTTCGTGATACGATTCCGGGCTTTGACTTCAGCAGTTTCATTAATACGGACACCGCCCCTCCAAAAGCCCAACATTCCTGGGGGAGACATACTTTTAGCAGCAGTTGCAGGTGATTAAGAGGAATATACCGGGGCGGTGGCCCTCGTTGCTTATGTCGTGTATCGGCTGTGAGAGTGAAGTCTCCTGTTGCTATGACGATCTGCATGATGGGATGTTGGATGAAGGATCGGAGACGAGGTTTTTGATTGTGCATTATTTCCAAATTGAGATTCGGAACTAATTCGAGACAGTTGGGATATTCGGCGGTGTGTCGGTCTGAGACTTCGAGATGACTAGAGGCAGTCACGTTAGGAGGATTATGAGATTTTTGTCTGGGTTACGAGATAATTGGAGTTATTTGGTCATTATCCGGAAGATCATCGAGTGCGGTGTGGTACATTCCATGAGATGGAATTGGTACATCTGGCGAGCCAGTCTGTGGGGTAGACTGTGGCATGTCAATTGGTGATGGTTCGAACCCTGAGTGGGGGAGAACTGGGTATTTTATTGAGAGGATCAGAGATTTGTTCGAGTGCGGTTAGAGAACTGGCTATGGAGATCTGCGGTATGGAAACCTGAGACTTGGGTTATATGCGGATGAGGTAAGGTGCAAAGCGAGATAATGCATGTTGTATGAGTTCAGAAGAAGATAAGGTTCGGATTGTCGCCAAAGTGTTCTTAGTAATTGGCGATTCCTCCATGCTTCAAATTGGGAAATGAGGTATTTCGAGGATTGCGAGTTTGTGCGAGTGGAAGATCAGCGGTCGAGGTAAGACATTATGAGGTTCTGAGAGGGTATGTTGCGGTATCCGAGTATGGTGCCGTGAGTGGAAGATCTGTAGATGAGACAAGACATCATGAGGTTCTGTGATGGTGTACCGGGGTATCTGAGTATGACGCCCTAGACTTTTGGGATTATTTGAGACTTGAGTTTGTGAGATGGCAAGTGGAGCACCGAGTGGCTATTGTTCCAGTGGGAACCCTTCAGTTAATTGACATCAAACAGGATTATCCAAAAATATGGATTGCATCAAGAGAAAATGTTTGTCACGACGGTTGTCGTTAGGAGTAGTGATGCTTAACATGGGTGGGTGTGTGTACCTATCTATTTTGGACCGTGAAGTATTTGATAGTGGACTCAGTGTGGTAACGACTTGAGGATGAGAATATGGGGTGATAAGAGAGTAAACGGATCTGGGTGGGAGTAATCACTTAGGACTGCCATGGGAGACCGTGGGGAGAGCCCAGGGAGAGTTAGAGAGAGAGAGAGAGAGAGAGAGAGAGAGTATGGTGTGACTACAGAGAGCCGTAGCATACATGAGTTAGAGAGAGAGAGAGAGAGAGTATCGTGTGACTGCGGAGACTCATAGCATACATAAGTTAGAGAGAGAGTATTGTATGACTGCAGAGAGTCGTAGCATACGTGAGTTAGAGAGAGAGTATCGTGTGACTGCAGAGAGCCATAGCATACGTGAGTTAGAGAGAGAGTATCATGTGACTGCGGAGAGCCATAACATACGTGCGAGAGTATCGTGTGACTGCGGAGAGCCGTAGCATACATGAGTCAGGGAGAGTACCGTAAGACTGCGGGGAGCCGTAGCATTCGTGAGTCAGTGAGAGGGAGAGAAAGTATTGTAAGACTGCGGGGAGCCGTAGCATTAGTGAGTGAGAGAGAGAGAGAGAGAGAGAGAGAATATCGCAAGACTGCGGGGGGCGTAGCATTCGAGAGGCAATGAGAGAGTGCCATAGGACTACGGGGAGCCGTAGCACTTGTTAGTCAGTGAGAGAAAGTGTTGTGTAACCACGGGGAGCCGCAACCTTATTAGTTAGGGTATGACGTAGAGCGACTCTTAGGCATGGGTAGCCTTACCAAAAGAGTCTGTGCGAACCTGGGGGCCGAACCAAGGGCAAGACTGGGATCTTGGCAGTGGTCGAAAACCGTTGTGTTTTGAGTTAAAGAGGGATTGTCGCGATCGAACGGATCGAGGTGTAATGCATGCGTATAATCGTGGAACATGGGTCATGAGTTGAGTGCTAGATTAGGACGAGTGGTTCCAATTCTGTGTCGGACCAGACTCTGGTGGGTGAGTTTGGTTCTATCTGTGTGGAGGACGGGCAGTTTGAGATTTCGGGTGGATCTCATTCTGAGAGAGATGTGTTTCCGTCTGATGTTTTTGACTTGAGTGAGCTATTTCGTTGGTTTGGGAAGGACCACGAGACACACGTAACTAGTAAGTAGTAGACGACAGAGGTCGGAAGTGAGGTGACTTTAGGAGGAGATTGTAGTGTTCGCTTGAGGTAAGGCGAACTTCATGACTTCGTGTGTCACATGAAGGGCTGAGATAACTAGTGTGAACGGGAGTTATAAAGAATGGCTGGTTGGGCGAGAAATGAGTAGCTTTGGAGGTCCAACTGTCGGTTCGGGAGTTAACCTGGTGTTCAGTGTCGGAAGGAACATTTGAGAGGAACGGGGGCTTATTATTATGGGAGTTTGAGGATCATTCCTTCAGAAGAGTTCTGATAACTACTCAGGCGGTGGGTCATTGGTGGGATATGACATTTCCGTTCCTTTTGAGTTACGACCGGGGTCGATTAGAGAAACATAATTGGTAGAGTGTTCCTAGAGTTTGTTATTCGATGAGCGATTAACATGATGATATCTTGCGAGGGTGGTCCGGTAGGGAGATGAACCACTAGAGTTTTCAAATTCTGGAGAGACAGAACGAGTACCGCAGCGGCAGATGGGTCTGTCCATTTTCGGGATTGGGAGTTCTTATTGGGTTCGATCGATGTGTTGATAAGGAGCGATTTCGAGGGCGAAATCAAATTCAAGTGGGGGAGAATTGTAACATCCTGTTCTGGATCGTCCGTGATTTAGGGATTCGTGGGCTGCAAACCGGGCATGAGGAAGTCTCGGGGCTGCGACGAGTTGAAACGTAGGGCTTCTCGTCACCTTTCCGTGGATATGAGATTCATGGGCAACAGACTTATAACAAGGGAGCTATGACAAGTTTGAAGATCGGGCAAGATAAGTCCTTTAATTGAAAAAGGTGGCAGCGGAGTACGCTTGGCGTACATGTGTGTACGCTTAGCGTAC